TCTTCATCGTGCATAGGAGAAAAGATTGTGAAAGTTCTCCTGGGTAGAAGTTAAAGTTCATATTTCATAGGAGTATTGAAGGTGTGGTAGTGAAGGGGGTGACACCTGTACAGATGACGCCTGCTAAGACCCCTGTGCGACTGCTTCCCTTCTCTGGGAAGAGCCTCATCCCCAGCCTCTCAAGCATTTGTGCTGCATTCATGCCCTTTTATAAGGTAGTTGGTGCCTCTGCAGGCTGCTGTTTAATGACATTGCTTCCCTTTCCTTTGGCTTCATCCCAGTGGACCCAACCCGTCCCTATTTGCTCATGGGGATGCACCATCCTGTCCCTTCCTGGCCAGCTTCACAGTGCCAGCCAGTGGCTTCCTCCAGCTGTGCTGTCCCAGGCGACTTGTGATCTCCAGCCCAGCTGACCATGCACTGCGCTGGGAGCTTCCTGGCACCTGGTGCTCTATGGACATGGGAGCTGTCCATGAGCCCAGGACCAGCCCATTCACCCTTTGGGCTGCTGCATGCAGAAGTTCAACTCTGGTGCTGGCTGAAAGGTCATCTCATCAGCATCCTGCATTCCCCATTCGCAGGGATCTGGGTGTGCATCTGCTGGAGCCTGAGCTTTCAGCGCTGTGAATTCCCCCCTGGAACCCAGAAATATATATTTGCTGCTGCTTGTGGGGCTGGCCTGTCACAGTGAGGTTTCATGCTGAGCAGTTACACCACTGGGCTAATCTTGCCTCCCCCAAGAACAGATCTGTGCAAAGACAGATCTCGGAGCACACTGTGTGATAACTATCCTGGTGGGGTGCTAGCAGGCACTAAGAGAACAGCTGACTTTGGGGTGGGGAAGGCAGACGGGTTGAGCAGACTGGGGAGGCTTTGCAGGGGGACATTGTCTCTCATCCCTGTATCCTGCAGTTTTGCTCTTAGGGTACATGTTGTCCAGGGTCACAATGGAAATCAGAGCTGGGAACAGCCCAGTCAGCACCAGGGGCAGTTGGCTACACTGCCTACCTTGTCCTGCAGCCCTTTGTTTTGTTCTTGGGTCAATCCTGAGGCTTAGCAACCAGAGTCATTGTTTCGGCTGCCATGATACAGGTCCTCGCAGACCAGCTACAAGTTTGGCCACCTGCTTAGCAGGTGCGGCAGCACATGGTAACGTTCCAGGGAGGTATGAGACTGCTTTTGGCTGCGGTGGGTTGCAGCTTGTGGGCACATGTGGGCAGCTATGTCAGGCCCTGATTGGAGTGGCTCACTCATCCATGGGGTGATCTGGATGTCTGCATTCAGCCCACGGGAATAACAGAACGATGTAACAGTGACTGGGAGGGATACAGCCTAGTTCCTTAGAGTGCAGCTGGCCTAGCGCAGCACAGCTGCCACCTTCGTATCGGCCTGATCCTTTTTCAGGAGAGAAAGCATGTCCAAGCCCAGTCAGTCAGCATGCAATGAGGGAGCAGCACTCCCCAAGCATCTTGGGAGTACTTCATTTCCTTGCACGCAGTTCCCCACTGCTGCCCATGGGTGCTGAGAAGGAGCGTGAGGCCTGAACTCGTAGAAAAAGCTGCAAGCTTTGGCCTCTGGAAGTCTTTCAGATGAATGCATGTCACACCCCCTGACTCTTTGATGGACCTAACTGTTTTCTCATGTGGTCTTGCCACTTCCAGCTCCTCGATCTTGCACAAAGCCTACAAGACACTGGAAGCAGCACAGGACTTAGTTCTGGGCTGTCCAGGAGAATTGCAGCAGGTGGAGATGGTGGGAGGCCGGCGTGGGGTGACCGTTGGCAGCGTGCTGTGCGGCTCCTTCTCTGTGGTGTCTTGAGAGTTGGAGTTTCTGCTGCTCTGCTCTGCTCTGAATGCTGTCCTTTGGTGGAAAGCATTTAGCTGTGAGTTGACCTGTGCCCCTTCACGTAGGAAGCGCTCATCAAATCAGGGCAGTGTTTGTGTTGGGCTGTCTCGCCCATTGATTTCATGCTAAAGCTGGATCAAAAGAGCTAGGTCGCAGACAAAGCTATCTGGCTGTTGCTGTCGGGTCTGTTATCGGCAGTCTTATTAGTGCTGCCGTTGCAGGACAACGAAAAACAGGACGTACCAGGTGTCTTGTTGCACAGAAACCTGAGCCAAGGGCTTTCAACAGGATGCCTCACTGTGCGGTGCACTTCAGGTTTCATCCTTTGTAGTGGATGTCCAGGACTCTGTTTCTGATTCTTCCTGGTCATTAATAGCTTGCTAAAGCCTGGAGAGCTGGGGGTGGGGGGAGGCTAGCCAGCCCTGGCAGAGCCAGAGGCAAGAGGTGGGTTTCACTTGCTTGGAAAGCACTGGCTGCAGCACCATGGATGAGGTTCAGCATAGGCCATGGGGCCAGGCTGGAATGTGGGTCGTGGCAGTAGTGCAGCCTGTGGCCCCAGGTTTTGCATTAAAGAAGTGGGTATCTAGTGGGTCTTGAAGGCTCACAAAGCCCTCGGTGAAGCAGATCCTTGGCAAGCAGGCCTTGCCTGGCTCCCTTGTTTGCCTTGGTCTCTTTGGGGCCGCCAGCTAGCAGCATGACTCGGCTGTGGACAAGCAGGAGCTGTCTGGTCAGCAGTGCTCCAGGATTGTCTTTCACCTGAGGGGAGCAGGACACTCGCTCTCCAAACCTCCCACAGAGGCTGTACTCGCCTTCTAGTGACAGTGGGCCATGCTTTCTATTCAGTGTAGAAGCTGCACGTCTGAGAGGTGGACCTCTTTTTCTGGCGATTCGCAGCTCACTTAGTTTAGACCAGGGGCATCAAACATAGGGCCTGTGGAACCGTTGTAGCCAGCCCGTCGGCAGTCTGGCAGGCCACCGGGAGCTGGGGGCATGTCCTGCTGCAGAATTTCAGGTCCCCGGACTTGGATGGACATGGCTGTCAGTGGTAAGGGCTCCAGTTGCAGCAGTGGGCTGTGCAGATGCAGCCACTGCTTGCCATGCTGCTGCTGCCCCCAGACCTGTACTGCTGTCTGTCCCCAAACCCACCACAGCTGCTGATGGATCCAGTCCAGGGCCCAGGGTGTTTGACACCCCTGGTTTAGATTCATTCCAAGCCCGAATCCAGGAATCTGGGCTGAAAAGCTGTTTCCAAGCAGTTTACATAATGCTGTTGTTCTCTGGCTTTTACTCCCAAGTTTGTCTCTTGGCACGTGCTGTTCCCAAGCAGGTTCACCTGCTTGCTGAATGCTCTCCTCCAGGACTTCGGTTTCAGTGTTTCCTCTTGGTTGCTGCATTCAACTCACTGAGAGGGCGGTTTGGTTACTTGGCTGCCTACTGCCTGAACACAATAGGATAAATTAGACCAACTAAGAGTCCAGTAGAGGGCAATGAAAATGGTTCAGGGGCTGGGGAACAGGACTTGGGCTGAGGGAACTGGGCTGCTTTAGTCTGCAGATGGTAAGACTAAGGGGGATTTAATAGCAGCCTTCAACTCCCTGCAGGGGGGTTGCAAAGAGGATGGAGCTGGACTGTTCTCGGTGGTGACAGATGACAGAACAAGGAGCAATAGGCTTCGGTTGCAGCAAGGGGAGTTGAGGCTAGAACTTGGGAAAAACTTTGTCATGAGAAGGATAGTTTTAAAGCACTGGAACAGGTTCCCCAGAGAGGTGGTGGCATCTCCATCCTTTTGGAGGTGTTTAAGACCCAGGTAAACAAAGCTGTGGCTGTGATGATCTAATTGGGGCTGGTCCTGATGTGACCTCCTGAGGTCCCTTCCAACCCTCATTTTTCTTTGATTCTGTTTGAGAGGTGCGGCAAACTGTTTGGCTTTAACTTACGGGAGGTAACACCTGCCAAGTAAGGCTCCATGTTGGTTCTGTCAGGTTCCTAGATTTTTTCATATATACTTTTTAGAGCAGGTCCACTTCCTGAAAATGTGAATTCATGGCTCTTGGCTGCAGTGGCTGTTAAGAGAAACCAGGAGACTCCCCCCAGGGAATAAGTCTGAAGAAGGAAGGAAGTGTCCCTGCGGGGTGCCTGCTTTGTTCCCTGACCCACCTGTCCTGGGGACAGACTGGAGGTGATTTGTACAAAGGGCTGTGCTTAATGCCAGCATAGGGAGAGCAGCTTCCTGCTGCTGTGCAGTTTGGGAGTGCTGATCCAGCTGCTGCTATTGCCAGTCAAGTGCTGTGAGCAGTGCAGCATCCCGGGCTCCCGACTCACGTCTGACAAGTCGATCACACTCTGCTCCACGGTATCACGAGTGCTGCCGCCTCTCTGCACTGCCTCAGTGCCTTGCCGAGAGCGCTAGCACTTTCCTCCCTTTAGTTTTGCTCGCTCTGCAAATCAAGCCTCATGCCCTCATCCTTCCATAGGTAGTGCTGTGCCATCCCCTTGTGCAGGTGGGCACCTGAGGCATGGAAACCAGTCTGCTTGGAGTGGGGCTGTGCCTTGGGAGGAGGGGAGCCTGCATCTTGGGCTGTGAAGATGTTTGCATGTGGTCCTGCCTTATGCTGTGCTGAACAAGCTTGAGACACTTGACAGAGCTTCCTTTATCTGGAGTGGAGAGTTGCTGTTTTTATCTGTTTCTTGGATGGGGAAACTGAGGCTGAGAGTGGAAGCGATTTGCCCTGTACCAGAGGGTGTGGACATGGCAGAACAAATCTACTTTCCTCCCATAATGAAGCCAGCGCATGACACGCAGTCTAAAGGGAAGTCCTCCATCCACAGATTGGAACAAAGGGAACTTACCTTGTTGGATGGGGCCATGAAATAGAGAGAGCAGTTGTCTCTTCTCAAGTGCATTACTTTATTGGCATACAAAAACTAGAACTCTTGGTTCCAAAATGATACCTTTTATTAGACCAACTGGAAAATGGCAAGAAAATTGTCCTTTTCTGCAAGCTTTTGGGATCAAAGTCCCTTCGTCAGGCTGTGGGAAAAGTGTAGATGGTAAAAAGTCCCCCCCCATAGGTGGGAAATAAACTTCATTTTTGCACAGAGGGAGCTGAAGATGGAAGTCTGTCCCTCTGGGTCCATGAGAGTGTCTTTGTGAGCTGTGTTGAGTAGCTCTTTGATGTGTTGATCAGGTAGAAATTCCTTCACTGGAGGTGTCAATTGGCAGGCAGGGAGGCAAAAAACTTCCTTGTTGTTTTGCAGTGAAGTTTAAAATCCAAAATCGGCTAAAATTCGGCATCTTCCATGTTTCAGGGGTGTACTTGGTAGCCGTGTTGGTCTGAGACAGACCTACAAAAAACTAGAACTCTTTCTTGGTTCCAAAATTATACCTTTTATTAGACCAACTGGAAAATGACAAGAATTGTCCTTTTCTGCAGGCTTTCGGGATCAAAGTCCCTTTGTCCTTACTTTATTGGAAAGCTTAAACCTAAGTATTCAGATCAAGCAGTGGGAATGCAAAAATGTACGCCTAGGAGGATGGACCCCAGCAGCTCTGGGTCTTTTGTTCAGTTCTTCCAAGAACTCGGGTCCATGATTCTCCACTTTCCCTGACTTTATATATCTATATCCACACTCATGAATGCATATTATATATGTACACGTGTGTGTATTGTGAGCACACAGTTACTGCTGACATGCATCTGTCTACAACCTGATTGGGTTTACGTTAATGAAAGGGGTTGATCATGAAACCACCCCCCTCCCCAGGAAGAATTTATGACATACTTAACAGCTGTTTAACTAGGAAGGCCTTTGGTTTCAGCTCTTTACAGTGAGTGCTAGTTCTTATGGTAATTGTTTTCAATTGCTTGGTTTGTGGGGCTATAAAGATGCACTTAAATCAGTGCATTCTTGTTTACATCAGCAAAACCACAGGATCTGCTTGTACCACCCTGTCTCTACAAAGTAACCCAAAGTTTGATCCAACCTCTAAGTAATGGAGGACGCAGACAAGATGGAGGGACTTTTGCCAAGATCTCTAAGGTGTTTCTTACTAGCTGTGTGCAGAATGGGTCTCTTCTGGGGTGATTTTTTTTGGGGGGGGGGGTTGGGTTTTTTTAATTAACCCTGGGTTATGCAGAGTAAGTGTTGTGCATCTGCACCCTTAGATTCATCCCAGAGTAGCAGTTGGCTCAGCGTAAACAGGCTGTTACTGGCTCTAATGCCTAATGGCCCAGTCTGTAGCAGCACTTAGAGCCAGGAGCTGGTTGTGTGTCCACCCTTTAATTCTGAGTAAAATTGGGGCAGGTTGCCCTGTAGTAATCATGTTTGTGCTCTGGCCCTCAGATCTGGGGCAGAGCAGGGCTGGGGTCTGTCTGGAGGTCTCCCCAGCAGACAGCAGCTGCTCTCAACACCTAATGGCCTGTTCCTTTCCCTTGCAGGTGAACTGTCTGGAGCCGCATCCTCACCTCCCTGTCTTGGCCACCAGCGGGCTGGATCATGATGTCAAGATCTGGGCACCCACTGCAGAGAATCCCACAGAGCTCAGCGGGCTGAAAGAGGTGAGGGCCAGGCTGGCTCGGTGGCTGCTTAGGGGTGGGTCCTTGCATCTGCCGCCTCTACTGGCCCATGACCCTCTAGACCCCACCTCTATGGGGCCTTTTGGGAAACTGCAGCGCTGACTGCTTCATAGTGCTCCCAGCACAGTGGGGAGCAAGGAGAAGTCACCCTGACCTCTCGGTGCCTCGGCCCTCCCTGACCACCCTGCCATGCTTCTCATCCACCCGGTGACTGCTCTCTGCCACCCATGAGCCTTGGGGGGGCTGCGGGCTCAGCCTGTCCCATGAGAGACGGCCTGATAACAACCTGCCAGCAATTCCCATCATCCCCGCTGAGCAGCAGGCAGGTGGGCATGCCCCAGCCACGCACTGACTTGGCCACTGCTTCTGCTTCCCCAAGTCTCCTGCCTGCTTCTCCGTTTCGCTTGCAGTTCCACTTGTGTCTTCTTTCTTGGCAGTGGCTGTTCTCTGCTGGGCTTGGGGTGGGGGGTGGGACATCAGACAAACTAGTGTTGTCCCAGGGTCAGGCCCTGCAGGCCTAGAGCTTCTCTCAGCTGTGCCGTGACCTTTCTGACTGGGGTGGGGGAGCAGAGAGCTCTGCAAGCAGAGTTCCCAGGCAGTGCCTTGCTGCTGCCCTGCCCTCCAGGCTCTGAGGGAGCCCTTGGGCATGCTCTGTCCACCCCTGGGGCCAGGACCTCCTGGTGACACTGGCTGACTGGAGCCTGATGGCTCCTCTCATTGCCTGGCTTTCCCAGGGGCATGTCTGGCTCCTACATGCTCTGGGAAGCTCTGTGCAGCACCTGGCAGCTGTGTCTCTGCAGTCCCCACTGACGCCTTCCCTCTCCACCCCCCCCCACCCCACAATGCTGCTGCCTTCAGGTGATCAAGAAGAACAAGCGGGAGCGGGATGAGGACAGCCTGCACCACACTGACCTGTTTGACAGCCACATGCTGTGGTTCCTGATGCACCACCTTAGACAAAGACGCCATCACCGGGTAGGTGCCCATGCCTTGCCACCCCAGCTCTGCTTTCTCGTACACCCTTGAGCAGCAAGAGTGGGGAGGGGGGGTCTGAATATCCATGCAGCGTTGCAGCCCCTTGCCTGCATCCTGCTCATTTCCAGCTGCTTTGCAGTGCAGCATCTTGAGGGCAGGCAAGGCTAGTGTTGCCACAGCTGCCCAGACCCTGCTGCCCTTCCCTAGTGAGTCCGCTTTGGAGCGGGCACCTGGTTCTGAACTCTCCTGGGCGTAGTGGTTCCTCTAGCATTGTGAGCACAGGGCTGGGCCCCAGATCTTATAGCTTCTATTCCTCGCGCAGCAGGTGACTTCTGCCTCAGCAGGACAACCCCCACCACTGCAGCCACCCCCTCGCTCCCCTCCCCTCCCCTCCCCTCCCCTCCATCTCTTTTCACGCCAGCCTGTGCTGGCAAGCGTGTCTGCCAGCTGACTCAGCAGGGCTGGCGGTTTGTGGAGTGCTGGGAGCTCTGGGGGGGCGGGGTGGTACAGCCGCTAACGCAGCGCTTCTCCTTGCCAGCGCCGAAGAGAACCTGGTGCCACCGACGGCGACTCGGACGAGTCCCCCAGCTCCTCCGACAGCTCGGACAATGACGAGGAGGGCCCGGACCGGGTGCAATGCATGCCCTCGTGAGGCCGTGGGCGCGCAGCCCCTGCGAGGCTGGGGCAGGGGGAGGAGACGAGGAGAAATCCCTACTAACACTTCCAGCTTTTTCTTGAAACATAAAAGTCCCCCCCCTGTCCTCATGGCCCTGCCCCGGGCTTAGCTCCACGACATTGCACTTTGGCTGCCCTCATGCCAAGGAGCAGGTGGGAGGGCGGCACAAGACCCCAGCACTGCCGGTGAGCGCCAGCCCCTGCCCCCCTGTGCTGGCTGTGTGTGCCTGGGGGGGCTGGCGGGGAGGGGGCTGTGTTTATTTTTGTACTAGAAGATTTCCCCCTGAGGAGAGTGCGCTTGCCTGCCACACATGCCTCTTGCCCCAGCTTTGGTTGAGCCTGTGCTGAGTTGATTTGTTCTTTTCTTTTTCTCCTCGAGCCACCGGTGGGAGCCCAAGTGGTGGCTGCAGCACGTGCGTGCGTGGGGGGGCACCACTGCGTGCTCTTGGTTTGTGTGTTTTTCTGCCCCCCTAGATGAGAGCGTCTCGGGCCTGCGTCTCTGCGCGGGGCTTCCTTCTGCCTGTGTCCCGCCTGGCGAGCACCCCATCCACCGTGCTGCAGGACTGCTCTGTGACCACTTCCTACCCTGGCGCTGGCAGAGACTCTTGCCTAGTTTGTACATATCAGTGATTTGCACTTGGTTTGACTCTTCCTCCAGCTCCCCCTGGATCCCCATCAAAACAAAGCTAATTAGCAAGCAGGTCCCTGCCCTTGCTGTCTGGGGGCTGGTGGAGGCCTGGGGCAATAGTTCCCAGTTTAAGGCCCCAAGGCTGGGTCTCTGCCTCAGTCTCCATGGAGGGGAAAACAAAGGAAAGTCCTTTAATTTTTCTGTTACTTTTTTTGAAAAATCTGTTTTGGGAGATGCGGCCGAACTTTCCCAGCGCTGGTGTAGAGGCCTAATTTTATATATGTATTAAAAAGAAAAAAAAACAACCGCGAACCAAATCGAACTTGGATGTTATCAAGTTAAAATTATTGTAAAGGTTTAAATATATATTATATATAAATGCAATAAAAATAATTGAGACACACGCCGGTCCCTGCCCCGCAGTCCCAGCATCTCTGTGTAGCGGGGGTCAGCAAAACCTGGATGCTGACAGCAATTGAGCAGAAGATTGACACTGAAAGAGGATGGGAGGTGGCATGAACTGGGCCACACTCCCTTCAGAGCCAGCCCCATCCCAGCTGCCTGCTGGTGCCTGCTCTTTGCCATGACAGCTCCAGCAGTGCTGAGCCTTCTCCTTTTTGGTTTTGGAGCTACTGCAGGCATGATCCTTCCCTCCTCCCCTGGGGCCTGAGGGGACTCAGGACTCGTGTGCCAGACTCCCTCTATACGTTGGTTCCTTTTGCCTTCACAGTCCCAACTACTTTAGGGCATGGGGTTAGAGTTTGGGGGTCCTGGTTCCTGC